TTTTTTTGCTTCAAACATACCCGTTTCACACTCTTTGCCTTGCGGCGAAGATAAACAGTAGCGTTTGATACAATTTAAATTCGATTGAACGAATATTTCACGTACAATCAAAGTTAGTTTACTTTTTGAAATTTTGCTCAAGCGTGATTTCGTCATACAATCGCTTGATGAAGTCATGTTCTGTTTGTTTAATCAAATGCTGAATTCTTGACTATTCGAGTTTTTCTTTGAAACGGTGAAACAGAACAATGATGTTATGCTGTCTACATGACAAGAAGAGTAATGTTTTCATGAGTGTTTGCCTCTTTGCAAGATGTTAAATGCAAAATGCTTAGGTCTGATTAATGGCTTTCGATGATTGCAGATGATTTTGAGTTATTGCGAATCTGTTTTATTATTCTAAGTTTGTTTTCCAATTCAATTTATAGAATCGAACATTCGATTAAATTCATCAGGTACACGTCGGAGATATTAAATAGTTAGTAAACTCTTAGTAATGATTAATGCTATCTATAAGGAATAGTTTAAGAGTTCCAAGTGTTACTAGATCATGAGCGGAAGAACGGTGTCATTAATAGCTTATTAACGAGAAATGAGAGAGAGCATGTTTAAGCTGTTTGAGATACTCGGGGTACTAAGTTCTGCTGGGATTGTTCCTTTGCAGCTTGTGCGTGAATCCTTGTCATACGTCTGCGATGGTGATAGTATATAGGCATAATCATGTACTTGAGAATGCTCCATGGGAACAAGTGCATGAGGAGCATCTGTAAGAAAAACGAATTATTTTGTATTTTCAGTAAGAATAAGATATAAACACAGCCGATTACACAACCATTTGTACTAGAAATAAGAGTGCACGTGAAATGTGCTCGCCACGTGTAACCGTAGCGAATTAATACGTGAGTGTTTCAAGCTAATTGGTAGTGTTCTCAAATTTTTTTTCCAATCTGTAACTTACTTGAATCTCATGGTTGAAACATCCTGATGTTTTCTTTGCCAGTCCTAGAGAGTTAACAGATTCTTTAGCGAAAGCTTCTGGTGTCACCACAAATAGGGATCCAGTCTGAAAAGCTTAGGATCACTGAGGATATCCAGTTGTAGACCTACTTTATAGTAAACCATCTTGGTAGCAATTAATGCTGGGGTTAGGCATTGAACATTGATAGTCTTGTACTCGCGATCAATAGCTTCGCATAGGAACGACATGACAGCCTGAAGCAATTCAGTTCATAAAAGTTTCCTTTAGCAATTAAACCTTTGATGCACAATAAGCGGCAAGAAGTGGAATAGGACGATATCCTTGTGATGACGAGAGAACTACGATCTGTCCACCTCCATGTCTTTCCATTGCTGGGAGAACGAGGGACAGGAACTAAAGAAGACGAGTTCAGATGTTCGATAAGAGTGAATGCTAACCTCTGCAGATCCAAGTCCGTTAATTTTCAGTATTTGACGATCAGCGTCTGGGTTATCACCATAACGCTCTAAGTTTTCACGTCCAACACCAACACTGTTAACTGTAAAGAGAACGATGTGTAAAGTAATAGTAGAACAGTAACTAACCTACGAACCCAACATCAATATCGGACACGTAAGCTCTCAACTTATCGTAGTCATCAGAGTTAAAATCGAAAAGGAAAGTTTTAACCCGACATTGGTATGTTGATTCTGAAAGTGTTTGGAGGTATAAGAGACGAGTATTGTCTTCAACATACCCAAGAAAGATTTTACATCGGCTAACTTCGTTTGACTTCTACCGATCAGAACGAACTTTCTAAGACCTCTCTTGGCGAGTTCGCAGGTATAGGCCTTCCCGATTCCATCAGTGCCTCCGGTAACAACTGAAAGATCCATATACACAAAATCGATTATAAGTTGATTTGTTGTTCATTTAAGGATAAAACAAGAGAGCTACCAACCTGTCCATCGGTTTTCATATTTTGTTAAGTCTGGCTCATAAAAGATCGGCGCAATCAGGTATATGAACACTGCCTTCAGCAGAGCAAATAATGTCCTGCAACACGTAAGATTTTAAAATGTTTTTTGGAAATGGCTATGCTTGTTTTTCGAATTTTTTTTACAATTTACTGTTTTCAAGATGGTTTCTTTCTGTTCATATCCAGGGACTAAGAATGTTCAAACAAATAATTATGGAATTTACCTGAAGACACGATAGCCGATATAACAAAAGGGAATAACCAGGAGCATTTGGAGGTAATATATCCAATGGAGATGTGAAACAGTCTGAGAATCGTTGGGAACTCCAAGCGACTGGAGAAGAGTTGAAGACGGGGAGGAGGAGATTATCGGCGACATCCACGAGATCTACAAGATAGATATTGTTTGATGACACCGTTACGGTCTACTTCATGTTTTGTTGTTGCTTTCGTGAGATAATAAGGATTGCAGAAAGGCAAGAGAGAATATTGAAAAAAGGAGGATGACTTCAATGAAGGATTCAAGAGTTCAAAAGATATTAAGAGGAATGAAAAGGATCATTCTGTGTTTGATTTGTGTGATGGAGGTTTAGGTATCAGTCGCCTATATATGGACCTATGGTAACTACTCAAACAAGTTTGCTCCAGTCGATCTGAAATTAGATGACACCCCTTCATGTGGTACTGAAGACGTTCGACGAAATTGCCAAAGTGCATATCTTGTGATTGCGAATTACAGTCTTTTATTTCATTGAGATAGATTGAATAATAAGAATTCAGACTGGAAAGTAGGCAAGAAGACGAAGTAGGAGAGAAGTAGAAAAACATTTGAAACCACAACTTTGCCGAATGACAGTGAGTAGGGCAGTACGGAAAAATAAGACGTCCATATTTTCAGGCGATTTTAACTCCATGAAAGCGAGAGTCATAGTATGTCCATCCTGTTTTGAAGTAGTCTTTTCTAAGTATACACTCTTACAGTTGTTATATATAGAGAGAGCTAATGTATTGTTTTGATTCGGCTCTCTGTTACGAAGTAATAGGCAGATCACACGACTTGGAACCACATGGCAGTTTAATTTCTATTAACATTTTTTCAATCATATTCTATCTTCACAGGTTTCCGTATCCGAACATCACCTCCCGCTTGCTACACTACTTCTGTTTTTGAGTGTTTGGTAGTCTCAAGCTGAATTTGTGGGACAAGCGGGAGATTGTAAGTGAGAGACACGCGGTCTTTATCCTACTTTAGCTCCAAGGATGTTATTCTTGAGAAAATAGGCTTGAGTTTGGAAGATTCCAGTTACGTCGTTGCGTTTTCTGGTCAAGCTAGATTCAACGTAAGTGCAAGTTTAGGTAAGCGGGTTTAGAAGTAATGTTCCGCTGAGGGCATTTGTTCCTGATGAGTTTTCGAACCAAAGTTCAATGATAGTGATGAATGATGGATTCGTTTGTCCGGTAGGCAAGTCTCACGATACCGAGATTGCCACTTGCAACAACTTGATGCCAAATAGCTAATGATCTTATGTGCGTCGTTCGACTCGACCTGGTGGAGGAGAGTTGATCTAGTGTTGTGCACCACAGGCGACTTGGGCGAGTATGTCTATCCAGTTTGGCGTGCGTGATGTTTTCTTTAAAAATTCTCAAACACTACATTCGGTCAATGAAAAATTGTTCTTGAACACACACGCACAAAGGAACACACACACACACATATATGTGACTTAACTTTAACCTAAAGTTTAGGATGATAACGGCAACCAGATCGCCGGAGAGTACATTTCCTGTGATTTTTGTAAAAGGAAGTTTTGCTGTCAAGCAATTCGAAAAACAGGTAGACTTGATGAACAAGTTAATCATAAATTCTTTTAAGATTTCAACGTGAATGACATAGACCGAATTCCGACGTGCGGATTATGAAAAGAGTGAATATCATTCGAGCAATCTCCGAGAAAAAAAGGCAGAATACACTTTTCAAGGTAATGACCCATTTGCAGAAATGAAATGTGAGGTGTGTAAGAGGTATCGAAAATCGACTTTTGATCGAAAAATTGGATGAAGAAAAGCTAATCGGGAACTAAGGTAAGAAGGTGGAGGACTACCACTCCACCGCAACCAAAAGATAGCACACGAGAAAAACAAAATTTGGGTAATACCATGCCAACTACGTGATTTTCAGAAAAAAAATAAGGATGAATGAAGAGAAGAAGGATATTTGCTTGCAGCTACAAGATAGTTGATGAGAATCAGAATATACGACGGTACGAAATGGGTCCAAAATTTTCCAACAAACAACGAATTATTTTTTCTGTTCGAAACTTGAGTTTGAGGTCTTGAACCTGTTCGACAGTCCTATTCAGAACGAATTCATAATTGGGTTTCGGAAAAAAGACGTCAAATTTTGTTTTTCTGAGGAGAACAGAAGAAAAAAAAGAAAACTTTGTTTGAAAAAGGAAAAGTGAAACTACAAACCACAATATCCATTGTACAGCTACTGCGGTAATGAAAATCACAGTTGAAGTATCAGTTAGGAGAATACGAAGATATGGTTGGATAAACTAGTTACTGCAGATTTTATATTGTTTAGTCTAATCCTACTTAGTGATTAATGAACTCTTAACATCAACTAACATTGGTTATCACTTTCACATCAACTGACTTGCTGTCGTCTATCATATCCAAAGAGGATGTGATTAGTGATTTGATGAGATAACACGGAATACTAACAAGATTTTCGAAGTTAAACTAATAAAGTGAAAGATAATGCGATTTGTATTGTCGACACTTTTTGTGTTGAAGATAAGGTCAATTAGAAAGGAATCGGCTTACTTCAACAAAATCCAGTTTATGTAACCAACCAGCTTTCAAATTTCAAAAAATGAGAATGGCTCGTATATGCTAATTTCCACGTGAGGTTCACGGACATGCTAATCCGTTGTTGGCGCTCATTTGCATGGAATACTTCGTGGATAGCGGTCGCATCCTACTCAACTAGCTCATTTTTCAAATAAATCCACCTATTTTCAGGTTACACTTTTCAGTTTGATTTCAAATAATATTAAACCGTGAGTGATTGTTTTGTATTTTCAAAGCTATTGTAATACTTTTCTTTGCAGACAATACAATACTGATACTGTTATGGTCAACCTCTTCTTTACCATTTGAAAATCAAAGGTTTGTCAGTTTTTATACTCGATGCCCTCTGTTGCAATCCTATTGTTGGAGAAGAAAGGAAAGAGAGAGAGAGATAGACAAGAAAGAGATAGAAAGGATTCCGGAGGAAGTGTAGAAACTTCGTTCAAACAGTGATACGATGTCATTGATTGCCGGAAACACCTTCCAGAATACATTGCTTTTCCATGATTACTAGCCAAATGTATGTATATTGACCGCAATTGTAATAATTCAAGAATTCTGCCATTGCCAAATTGTCCTTCGAATGCTAATGCGTCAGGGACGCAGTGTTGCTTGATTATATGGCAACTGAAACAACGTAAATGAAGTTTCGACGACTGCCATGGTGAGAAAGAGGCTGGGTTAATATACTGCTTGCGAAAGCGCGTTAAGGCTTTTAGTTCTTATCATTGTATGTTACTCGTACATGAGCATTGATTAATGATAGTATGCTCTACGGACAGAACAATTAAGATGTTCGAGATTTATAACTTTTGAAATACTTACTAGTTATATGATATAGGATTACATTTGTAGTTGAATCTATCTGAACATAAAATGGTATTGAATTGAACTATACTTTCAATATGATTGTCTGTAGAGCATTTCCATATTCTGTTTGTCTGTAACATTCTCTTTCAATTTTTGTGCATGCACACCTCATTATTTACACTGATTCATATTGATTTGTTTATTGAAAGTATCCACTTGGCACAGGCTTATTTTTAATATTTAGCTTTAGTCGTTTGCTCTTTCGAAGAAATGTTACATCTTTTCTTGCATTATTGATTTCATGTTTTTCTTTATTTTATCACCTTTCTCACATTTCCAATCAGTTGTTTTCCTTTTTCCAGATTTCTCATTAAAACATGGAAGCTGAAGAATCTGTTCAAGAGCGGTCACCTTTCATTTCAGGTTAGTAATTATACATTTAATTCAAAAGTTTTTTTCTGTTCAACATGCAGTAGTGGGGTTACGTTTTCTTGAAAAGAACAAGTTTGAGTGTGTTTAATGAGATTGTTACAACTATCAATACGATAGATGCTCCTTGAAAGACGTTAGAATTAGCAGTATGATTTTGACAATTTCTTGTTATTATCTATTGTGACCATCATCATTCTTCAGAAGGTCGTCACACATTATCAATGCTGAAACAATTCGTTTCATGACTGTTATATATATGATTACTCTTTAATTTCAAAAATTATTCAAATGTTATGTTTATAGAAGCCAACGGTGAGTCAACTGGAATGGATGTGACGGCATTAGAAAGGAAATACAGTGTTAGGTTGTCGATCATAGACCTCTCATAATATATTCTTTTCAGCAGCAACCAAACGATAGTCATAAATTCATGAACTTAGAATGGGATTCTTCTTGCTATTTCTCGGATGGCAAGCGTCAGGTTCCAGTGTTTGAATTTACACAGTGAATCAGTTTGTTCTACAGATTGACTATGTATTGGCGTTTGAGAATGAGGAACTTGACACGCCATCCACAGAGAGAACAGCAGTTTTTAATATCAATTGCGAGAATAGTGAAGATGTCTCTGTGAGTTGCTCTTTTAGGAGAGTTTATATTACATACACGCTTGAGGATATGAATGATGAAACAGATGGAGCGCACAGCATATGTTCCACCTCAACGGAGTTTTCAAAAAAGCATAATCGTCGGAGGTTTTATGAAGAGAACCTTAAGAATATGGGATTAGAATTAGAATACGTTGATATTGCTCCACAGGTTAATGATTCGAATAGTCTTCTCATATTTATTCTTAACCTTCAGTTAGGACGAACAAGCTTTGTACTCGTTCATGCTCCATTTCCAGTTTTAGAGAAACAATCTAAAGTAATGGGTGTTAGGTTACCTATAAGAGAAATTGATGTTCACTATGTGAGTTTTGAAAACAATTCATCCGTTATGTATCTGCTTAGGATGGTGGGGCTCTAGAAGGACTCTTAGACCAAGCACTTGCTTCGCTGAAAATTTTTGATTTTGATGAGTCAACGCAAAAACTTCTATCTGACCGTGATTACTATACTGCTCCTTATTCTAGTGAAAGGAGAAAAGAGTAAAACATAATTGCAAGTTCACTAATAATTCTTTTTTTCAGTTTTCTAAATTGGGATAAAGAAGACATTCTGTTTCCAAACGCTGAACGATCGAGAATGGTTTACGATCTGTTGACTCGAGCTAATTATGATGGACCTCATGGAAAATCGTATGTTTTAATCTTAATCGAAAGTTATGACAGTTCTTATTTAGAAATGTGAAGCATTTTGGAATAGAAAGGTTGCTTGGTAATTCTACTTATTCAGCTGCTTACCCGTTACACCAGGTGAGTAACATACCTGATTACGATATGTTAACATGAATGATTGTTCAGGAGATGAGACATAACCATGAAATACCAGCAGGCGGCGAGAGAACGCAGCGAGAAGTTTTATTAAAACATTGGGCATCATGGAAGAATATTTTCAAATACCAGCCACTAGATTGCATCAAGTAAACTTCCGAGTGTTTAGTTTCAAGTTACCATATTGTTTGTAGGCGTTATTTTGGAACTAAAGTAGCGTTTTACTTTACATGGCTCGGATATTATACTCGATCGCTTTATCTCGCAGCTTTCGCTGGTGTAGTCTGTGTTGCATATGGTTTGTTCAATATTACCGAAGATGTAGTCAGGTTTGATTCGCTTCGAAATGTTTTTTAATCGATGACTCAGTAATGATATCTGTGGGAATGATGGTGTCGGTTCCGATATACTTCTGTGCCCACAATGTGATAGGTATTGTGATTTCCAAAGGTTGAACAACTCTTGTGTATATGCGAAAGTAATTAATTCTTTTATTTTGTGGTTCAATCGAACTCATTTGTAGGTTTCCTATCTTTTTGATAATGGCGCTACTGTAATTTTTGCTGCTTTAATGAGCATCTGGGCAACTTTATTCTTGGAAGGATGGAAACGATATCATGCTGAAGTTGCATGGAAATGGGGATTACTCGATGTTGTCGTTGAAGAGGTAGGCGATACAAACGATATAAGTAATATAGTTATCGTTATTCAGGATACTGTTCGTCCTGAATTCCAGTTCCGAGTGAAGACTAGAAGGCTCAACCCAGTCACTCAAGAGCAGGAACCTTATTTATCAACAAGAAAAAAAGTTCTCAACTTTTTTGGTTCAGGAGCCACAGTCTTATTCTTTGTAAATTTCTTCACAGTAATTATTTTCTGAAAGTCGTTTTCAAGGTTTCACTCGTGTTAGCTGTGGTTTTCGGAATGGTTCTTTATCGTGTCATATGTATGCGAATACTTGCTTTCGTGAGTTATAATTATCCTTGTCATAGTACTGATCCATTATTCAGATGGATCATCCAACTGTTGACTCGTATGCTTTCATAATTGTCTCAACGACAGCGGCCACTATTAACTTATGCGTCATTATGATAATGAATATGGTAGGTTTCTATTCCAATTGAACTTTGCTATTTCTCTTGCATTCACAGGTTTATAACTATATAGCCCACAAGTTGACAACGTGGGAATGTCCTCGGACTCAGAGTGACTTCGATAACAGCTACACATTCAAAGTCTTCTTATTTCAATTTGTCAATTACTATTCGTCACTGTTTTATATTGCATTTTTCAAAGGATTGTGAGTTATTTTTTTCAAGCCTTTTTTAAACTTTCTTGAAGGCTGTCACAACTGCCGGGTACTCGAGATAATGAAGGGAACGTCACCATAGGGGGCTTCAGACTGGAAGTAAGTTAAACTTCATTTTTGCTATATTTTTGAATTGTCCATAAAGGGATGTGATGCTGCTGGATGCTTTGCTGAACTAGTCATTCAACTTGCCATAATAATGTGTGGTAAACAGTTTTTCTCAGCTTTAGTCGAGTCTGCTTATCCGTATGTTTTGATCATATTACAAAGTTAGGTATAAGTTATTGCAGAAGTGTTATGAGTCTTCTACGGAAATGGAAGCTGCGAGTTCCTGTTGTGGTGGAGACGAAAGAGCAGAGAAAGCAAAGAATCCGCGAAGAAAAGGCGCAAAAGACATCTAATATGAAACGATGGGAGGCTGATTACTATTTGAATCCAACATATGATCAATTCCTATTTGATGAATATCTGGAGATGGGTTAGTTCTACACTGTCAGACACCATGGACAACAATTATTTCAGTTATACAATTTGGATTTGTGACACTCTTCGTCGCTGCCTTCCCTTTGGCGCCTTTATTCGCTGTTATCAATAATATTTTAGAAATAAGAGTAGATGCTAAGAAGTTTTTATGTGTTACGCAACGACCAACGCCTGCTCAGGTTTGGATATTCATTTCGTTTAATTTCATTTCTATCTGAATCGTAGGCAAAAAATATAGGAATATGGTTGAATATACTCGATGTTATTAGTAAAGCCAGTGTCACTATTAATGTAAGAAAGGAATACTGTTTTCATTTTTGTATAATTGTGTCTTCAGGCTCTAGTCATATCATTCACTTCGGATTTTGTGCCAAAAACGATGTACTATCTCTTACGTGGAACGATGATTGGTTATGTTGATTACTCATTATCATATTTTAATTCTGCTGAATATGATTTTTCTCATTCTCAGTTTGATGATGTGAAGCAGTGCAGGTTTGCTGCGATCGTAATGTCATTAACTATTTGTTTATTGTGTAGATATCGTGGATATCGGAGAACTCCTTGTTCTCTTGTAAGCGGCAATTTACATCATGGAGAGCCATGTGATGACCGTTTAGGTTTATCATACGAATGGTGGAAAGTTTTCGCTGCCAGATTGCTCTTTGTAGTTATTTTTGAGGTAAACCAACAAGTTGATAGCTTGTAATCATTTTCTTCAGCACGTTGTAATGTTCATCAAAATAGTAGTGGAGTACCTGATTCCTGATGTTCCTACCAGAATTTTTGTTCAACAGCAACGAGAACGATATCTGTTACGACAAGCTATTCTGGGAGATATGTCTGGATTGAACTCTCAGCGCAAACCAACTCGCAAACAGTTAGTTAACTCAATCATGTGCTGACTAATGAATCTCTATTCAGATCATTTGCTGACACACCGAGGGTTGCATTCCAGCCAGGTTCTTTCGATGACCATATGGTAATCTGAAAAACCTGTGCTTCCAATTTAGTTCAATTTAAGATTGATGATGATCCAGAGCCCGCTCAAGTATTATTCAGATCACGTGAAAGCAATTCGGTGGAGTCCTTCACAACAGCTTTACCTCCTAATGGAAGCTCATTGAGCTTGCAAACCTGAATGGCTGAAGAACTGGATTTCAATTTCAGTAATGGACTTTAGAATACTTCTCACAAAAAAACTGTATTCAGATCTGGATTGATCAGGGATTCTCAACTTGCCCTTTGATTCAAAATCAGGATTATTTATTAGATTATATTTAATTGTTTACGTTCCATCAACGGGTTGTTTTTTTTTCAAATTTTTCATATCAGTCAGAAATAATAATTTTTACAGATTCTTTGTCAAATTCCAAACAAGAGGGGTCCTTATTAACAATATTAGTAAAATAGTTGGATATGAAGACGTTGACGGGTTGAAACTATATCAGGCATCTATTAGTTTCTTAAGAATACAGATCATCAAAGTAGGCAATTCCGCGTAACAGGGGGAAGCATACTTACGTGAATCTTCTCATATAAATGATAATTGAGATGTTTTGGATAAAAGTAACAAACGCAATAACCAGATTTTCGTTATTTTGGTTTGTTATTAGCCCCACATCGTATATAACAGCAGGCGACTTTATTTTTTCATAATATTCTTGCCACAAAGCTTTTTCTCGGTACTATTACAGTTATTACTGTAAGTGTCTGTAGTATAGATGATATTTGAAAAATGAGTGGTACGCAAGTGTTTTCGGCGATGTTTCGTTGTTTGTAATTTTCTAATTTCGCTGCCAATACTAAATAAGGTTAAACGTTTCGAATCTCGGAAGATGAATTGAAAAAAATTAGAACTATTCACCTGCGTCTGACGAACAGGAATAGTTTATCATCAGCCTTGTCGGCGAATCCAGCTGACGTCATCCAGTTTCGTTTAGATCTTGACACCTGTAAATGCAACTTGATAAACCAAGTTTGCTTATTAGAGGTCGTATCTGATGAAACTGTTGTTCAGTCAAACGTAAGTTAGTTAGAAAAAGAGGAAGTCGATTCGTGACATCATCACATTTGCTCATTTAATTCAACAAAATGGAACACGTTTTCTAGAGCATCATCAGACCCATGCCATTCTAGTATGTTTGCGATTACTGTTCACATTCTTGGGACGATCTTTAAAATAACGTCAAGTGTTTCGATATAAATAGAGGTGAGTTGGATTAGTTGAGGACAAGATTCTTGAAAATTGTTTTTAATTTCAAGCATGAGGTCAAGGTGTTTTTAATTTTTTATTTGTAATGAAGTAGTAGTAGAAGTTTACGTCACTTGTTCGAAAAGAATTAAGCGCCCTCCTTAATTGTCTTTTAACACCACCTGAGCCATAAACGCCGATGTGTACGAATGCATTTCCTTGTCTGCTGCTTCAAGCTTTTCTCAAGCGCAATTGTACTTTTACCCAATTTAGGCAATAGTTGAATGTCTTGTCCAGTTCCATTATCGGTTACTGGCCAAATAGACATGAAGCTTATATGAATCATTTTTTTTGAACGTTAGACATGCTTTTTTGAGTGTACTTGAATTTTCTTAATGACATTGCACTTCCGATGATGTTTCGAAAAAATCATTTCTTGTTAACGAGAGTGAACTTATGATTTATATTTTGCTAATTGACTAGTAAACATGAAGTTGTTGAAGCAATTAAGCGCTTCTCTATTGCCCTTTTAAGGTGAAGCAGGAGTAAGAAGAAGTTGACAAACCTCTTTAATATCTCCTGCTTCTTCTAAATTCATGAGAAGCTTCTTGAAAGAACATGTTTTCTTTTCTCTTCTGCTACTTATTCTTATAGTTTGTTTCGTTTGACCAACTAGTAATGTGGCTCATTGCATGTCCAGTTATTCATATCCCAATGTCAGCTAATTAGAGCTTCAGTTTGATTGTGTTCTGGTCCTCAACCTTAGTGATATTTGAACTTCTTGTCGAATGGCGAGTGGTCAAATGATCAAAAAAAGCGTAGGTGTCCCTCTTAATATGTACAGTCACTCACTAACAAAAAAAATCCAGTCCACCTTAGGTTGCAAAGGTCTACTTAAGGCTTCGAAAGCCCTCACTACTCGATTAGAACGGCAATGTCATTTTGCATGTTACTTGTTTACTTTTTCATTTTTCTCAACAAAGTATGTTTCGACTTTCAGTTAGATGATAGCATGAAGCTACCTGTTTGTCTTACATTAGCAATGCAATCTATTCGTTTTCGTAAACTAACTTGCCTGAAAGCCAGATTTGAGACTTTTGATTGGATGTAGTAACAAATGATTTCTGACTCTTACTTCACATCAAATCACTTTTTCATTCTTGCAGTAAAGTTTCAATGAGACATTCTAGAGGTTTTCATTCTATTTATCCATTCGGGGGGGATTACTCGTTCATCTGGAGGACATCTTGATGAAAACTATGTGTAAAGTCGTTGATATACAGGTCTTGAGACATGTCGATAATCTCTCTGTGTTTGGCATTTCGTTCAAACCACTCTAACTATCATTTCTTATCGAACTGCTGATCAGATTAGTTGGCGAGGAAACCCCATCCCCTTTCTTTTCCGAAAACGATGAGAAGATGTGATTCTTGGTTATTCTCATCTCATATCTGTCAACCTTTCAGTTCATTTGCAAGCTTTGACAGACTTTATGTAAACTTTTTCTTTCCAAATTTCTCTCTCTGTCTCTCTCTTTCTCATTCTCTCTCTTTTTATCTTTCTTATTAAGGCGATCTCCTATTGAATGGCATCTTCCTTCACTTAGAATAGATTTCTTTCTTGTTTTCCTTTTCCACTGTAACAGGATATGAATCTGTTTCTACTCAGTATGACGGTTCATGTCTCGTCTTGCCATTCCAATCCTTTTTCTTGAGAAGTGATTGAGAGTATCAGAGGTTTTCACTCAGATTTCTTTCTTTTCTCCCTTTATACCCCCGTAGATGTTTCGAACTTTTATGATGAATAAAACCCATTTATTTCTTCTACTTTTATAACTTGATGGAGGTTGTATGCTTGGGTTCATGTGTTCTCGATTGATGTTTCTAGTTCTCACATAGCTTTTACTCGAAGCTCTCTTGCATACTCTGATAATGAGTGAAAGTGTAACCATCTGTATCATTATTGCTGATCTAACACTGTAAGACAATCTTCTTGTTCGTTCTCTCTCACTATGTCCCATTTTATCTCTTCTCAGCCAGCTCCTTTCTTTTTTTCATTTCTCCACTACCCACCCAAGACTTACAGTATTACAACTCTATCGAGAGAAGGTGTGATCTGACACTCTTTTTATTTCGTTTTGTACCATCTTTCTATCTCGCTCGTCAAATCGTAAAGCCGGTTTGAGGTGATGGTCTGGCATCATCTGATCTCATTCACGGTATTGGCATGTTCTGTCTATTCCCATTCTCAACATAGACTTCTTTCTTTTTTTCTTTTAAAAACAGTTTTCATTCCAGATTCTGAGAGAAAAAACTATTTAATTTATGAAATTGCAATAAGTGTCTGTATTATAAGGATGACAAAAAGTATTCGAAAAGAAGAAGGATGGACTGTACGCAAAGTGAACTCCTTCTTTGAGCACGTTGGTACATTCGTAAGGTACATTTCATTTCCTCTACTATCTCTATCTCTCTCGGATCACATTACCATCTCTTTCAGTGCTTACCCTTGGACATGTATCTTGTTGAGTACCTTATTAACTATTGGATTATCAATCAAAATACCTCTGACGGAAATGGAAAACAACATCAGTGATTTCACTCCCTATGAAGCTCGTTCCCGCAAAGAGTTGGAGGTATTCATATCCAATGGTATACGTGATCATAATCCGATGTTCAGATCTACAAAAGTTTTTTTCAAAACCGGGGAGAACCCAAAACTATCTATGCTTTCTGTAGCGGCAAAAATGGTACAAACATGCTGGGCTTACAACAGCTGAATGAAACTGTACAGGTAATATGCCACTGTCGTAGTTCTCGTAATCAGTCGACTGCAGGTTCTTGATGGAATATCTAGAGACTTCCGATTGAAGAAAAATTCGAAAATGGAAACTTTCGAAGAGTTTTGCAGTGGCTTCTGTACTCTGAATGAACCTGTTCGACACTTCTACGTATGCATTCACATAGATATAACAAACATCTTCTGATTGAAATAGAGTGGAATGCAAATATGGGATCAGTATGGAAATGAAAGTCGACATTTGGATTTGGGATATCCTGTTACTACAGTACTCGGCACCAAGCTTTATATGGATCCTAACTTCTTTGGAGTCAAAATATCCATTGAGGACGCAAACAATGGCATTCGACGGGTTGTTTCAGTAGCTGATGGATCTGCCATTTCAAGTATACAGGTACATTCAAAGCCGTTTTCGTTTTTTCAATTGTCATTGTTCAGACTCAAGTTCCCAATAATATTCGAGAATTGGATCTGATCGTTCTCCAATTCAGGGCTGAGGTACGTTTTGCTGAAACCTCTACCTTCTACGGTATTTTCATTATAGATAGGAAATGATGTGAACGCGGATGATTTGAAAGTGTACGAGAGAGAGATCGTTGACTACTATCACAAGTAATTCTTATTCCTTCTCACGATAAACATTGATTGTTTAGAACTTTCAAATCAGATGTTATTGATGTTTACATTCTCACTGATTCCTTCATCACCTCGGAAATCGTCACAGCTGGCTTGACATTACTTCCTTTTTTGGTTATTGGATTTACCATCATGTCAGTCTTCTCTTCCGTCACATTCATCATTGGAGGAATCATGAATGATCAGTTGAACAAGTTCAAAGTTGAGAAGTCGAAGATGACAGTTGTACACGTTTCCCTCATAGATTGTCCTAGCTATTATGGCTTGTGTGGCTCCATTTATGGCTTGCGGAACAACACTCGGAGGAATGTTCCTTTCAGGATTTCGATTTGGTTCCATACTATGTGTGACACCTTTTCTTGTTCTTGCTATTGGGGTGGATGATGCTTATCTCATGGTTAACGCTTGGCAAAGAATAACGAATGAACGGAGGTTTCGATAACCAATTTTTGTTTCTCAACCATTTCTTATTCATTAGGACAGTGGCTTATACGAACGTTAGGCAAGAAGTAAAACACCGAATCATAGAGATGTTAGTTGAGACAGGACCGTCGGTTAGTTCAGATATATAAATGTTTATCTAGACATTGTCAACTTTAGGTCTCTATCACGACAATAACAAACGTCTTGGCGTTTGGCATTGGAGCTATGACTCCAACGCCTGAAATTCAATTATTCAGTATTGGCAACGCCTTAGCAGTGATAGTTGACTTCATCTATCAAGTTGGTTTATTAACGTAATAGGTTCCTTCAACTTCTCATTCAAGTTGACCATTTATGCGGCTCTCATGGCTATAGTAGGCCGCTATGAGATTGAGAAGGAAATGGAGAAGAAAGAGAAACAAATGAAAACCCTGGATCTAACTGAGAAATCAGAGAAGAGTGATCTCTCCATACATATGACTAAACCCTGTAAATCCAAGTAACCAACTATCTCTTGCTCCCATTCTCCTCAAAGACACGTTCTAGATTCCTCAACTTCTACTGTGACACAATCCTGAATAAGTATGTGTCATCAGCAATACTTGGTTTACTAGCAGCCTATTGGTACATAAGTGTTGTCGGGACATTGCAAATCAAAGCAGAACTTAGCCCGGACAAGCTCTTCTTGCAGGGATCAAACATTGTGAAAGTGAATATTCGTTTGAACATTGTCGATTAATAACTCATATTCATTTTAGATATTCGAACAGCGAAAACAACATATAATTCCCTATTATGGAGTATGCTGGGTGCTCGTAGGAGCTCCGGGAGATATCACACGAGAGACTCAGTAACAGTTCCTTGTAATAAGCATCCTAATTCTCATTCCAGAAAATTGCGTTTGCATCAACTAATTGAAAGTTTCGAAGCGTTACCTGGCTCAGTTGGACGGTACGTTGTTTTCAAATCACAATTTTCATTTCTAATATCTATGACGGGCGACACGGTTATATCCGCAAGCTCTTGAATGTTCTGCTCTAATATGATGATTTCAGTTATTCGACTAAGTTTTGGATGAGAGATTATGAAGAGTTTCTTCGACAGAGCGAGTTGATGGAAGAGGAAGAGTTTGAGGATCTCGAAGAGCATGATCAACTGGCTCATAACAGAACTTTCGAAGAGATATCGTTAGCTTTTGCTGAAAATGGAACGTAAGTATACTCATGTTCGGAACGTACGACGTGAACTCACTGATTGCTTGCAGATCATCACTCAAGAGCTTTGAAGATAAGGTTGTAATGCGAAATGAGTTGAAACAGTTCCTTGAATGGCCTGAATTCTCCTTCTGGAAAGGTTTTATACAGTACAAAGAAAAGGATGACAAGTTGTTTTTGCATCTTAATATTTAGTCAATTTTTGATTGAAGCACTTATGACGTCACGGGATTCATTATAACAACCGCTTACCATGGACATGAGTTACAAGAATGGTCTAACAGAGCCAAGCTGTTGAACGACTGGCGCAATGTTGCTGACAAGGTAACTCACTTTCAGCTAGCAGATATTCATATTCAACGTATCATTATAGTTTCCTGATCTCAATGTCTCTGTCTATGAAGACGACGCTAAGTTCTTGGATTTGATTGAAACGATGGTTCCCATTGCTAGTCAATCAGCCTTTTTCACTTTCGTTTCAATGTTTATCGTCGCTTTCCTATTCATATCTCATCCTCCCACCTTATTCGTGGCAACGTTCAGTATATTGAGCACAAGCATAGGTGTGTTCGGTATGATGTCATGGTGGGGAGCGGATCTGGATCCCATTCTGATGTCAGCAACAGTTATGTCAATTGGATTTTCAGTTGATATACCGTCTCATATCAGCTATCACTTCCATTTAACAAGTTTATATTTTTTCTCAGCTACTTGGACTATTCACCGTTTCAGGAAAAGAAACAAGCTGCATACGACGAAGACTGGAAAGTACTATTGCGGCAGTGGGTTTCCCCATAATGCAGGCATCCGTCTCAACTACATTATGTGTTTTGAGTCTGTTCTTCGTAGATTTACACATGTCACAGGTGAGCTGTTTAACTCGATTCTTATCCTACGAACATGTTTCAGCTGTTTGCAAAATGCATGTTGTTAGTTGTTGTGATTGGAATGATCCATGGCCTTGTAGTCATTCCTGTTATGTTCAATTTAATGTCAGCTCTTCCTCGCAAAGTTTCCTATGCTGTGAGTAGTCAACAGCATAGGGCGATATCCGTAGAAGTTAACTTCCCTTGAGTCTCTCTCTAAGTATTATAATCAATTCATTCTTGCTTACGGGTTTGTCTCTTCATTATGATCACTATTTGTTGAATGAAGGGTTTTCATGTAATCGTTTGCCTCAATTATGATCCTGCGTAGTAGATGCTCAATGTTCTGATGAGGTAGAACGGTAGCTGGCTTGGTCATATGTTAATTTATATAATATAATTCATATTATCATATATTATACTCAGCTATAGAAAAGTATCGCGACAGTTTGTGGGTAAAATAATATTGCTGCTCAAGGTTTGAGCAGAATGCAACCGGTGTGAGCTGTTTGAGGTGGAATGCAACCGGTGTGAGCGGTTTGGAGTGGAATGCAACCGTTCTGAGCGGTTTGAGGTGGAATGCAACCGTTCTGAGCGGTTTGAGGTGGAATGCAACCGTTCTGAGCGGTTTGGGTTGAATGCAACCTTTCGGTGCGTTTCAGATGAGACCCAACCTTGTCCAGGCCTCTTCCCTAACTTGCGAGTCGATGAGCTTTTCGCCCCTCTCTGGAGAGCCTCCAGAGAGAGAGGAGTGGAGCTCACCGGCTCACACCACCAACTAACGTGATTTGGTTGGCCCACAGCTTATAGACCCTCGCGGAAACGCGTCACGTGAAAATAATTTTTACGTGAGAAAAAAAATGACCCGGTCGTTCTCTTTCGGGAAAACGATGTAACTTGGCTCAAAGTTGATGAAATCGGTTGGTTTTTTGGTTATTTCAGATCAAAATTTCATTCTACATCTGATTATAATAATCATTCTTTGTTTAAAAATGAAAAAATGATTTTATTCGACCCCGCCCAGCAAAGCCGTTTAGATTAGAAAACCAATTGAATGACTTATCGATGCTCTATTGCTAAATGTTCGAAAAAGACGTGATTGAGTAAGTATTAATTACTTTTCATTTTATCATTCTTTGTG